AAAAATTAAGTAAATTCGGGGGTGGGGGGAGGCAAGGCACTCAGGCAGTGTTCCCACTGGCCAATGAGGCAGCAGGGAGCAGAGCACCTACCACTAGTTCCTGCCTACCCATAAGGCAACTGGGGGCAGGGTGTCTGATCTCAGATGAGTTCCTGCTGACCTAGAAAATGTCTGAAGTCAGGATGCCTGGACCCAGAAAACATTTCTGCTGGCCCAAACAGCAGCTAGGAACAAGGAACCTGGTTCCAGAAGGAATCCCTATCAGTTCAAAAATGCAGCTGGAGACAGGGCTTCTGGTCAGAGAAAAAGTCCCAGTCATCCCAAAAGGTGCTGGGAGCAGGGTGGCTGACCCCAGAACTGGTTCCTGTCTACCCAGAAGGCAACTAGCATTGCCTGATCTACTAAGAATTTCTGCTGGCCCAGGTGGTGTCTGGGGGTAGGGCACCTGGGCCCAGAAAAAATTTCTGCTTGTCCAAAAGGCAACTGGGAGCAAGGCATCTGTTCTAGAGGGAGTTCCTGCTGGCCCAAAGAGCAGCTGTCTCAAAAGGCATCTAGGTGCAGGACCATTCACAGAAAAAGTTCCTGCCATCCATAAAGGTGGCTGGATGTAGGCTGCTTGGTCTCAGAAAAAGTTCCTACTGGTCCAAAAGGTGTCTGGGAGTAGGGGACCTAGTCTTGGGACCAGTTCCTACATGCCCCAAAAGCAGCTAGTGGCAGGGTGTCCAGTCTGAGGTATAATTCCTGCCAGTCCAGAAGGTGGATGGGCATGGGGGATGGCCATACCTCTGTTCACTGTGAGAGTGTGGAATACAAGAGGAACAAGGGGAATATTGCACTTTTCTGGTTGTCAGTCACCAGTGTGGTTGCCTTCTCAGTCCTTGGCAAGCTGAGCTGATTATCAGGTTGCTGCCTTGATCAGAACACCAATCACAAATATTCAAAATGGCCAGTTCACAGTTCACAGCTTCATTTGTCTCCTTATTCACTGTTTCCATTCAGTTTCTTTTACTAGTTGGTATTTAATACAGTTCTTTATCTTTCCCTTCAAAGCTCAGTGTTCCAGGACTATATTCTGTATCTGTTTCAACTAGTTTCTCATTTTTTTGTTGTAGAGGGTCTATGTAGCTTGTCTGCCATCTTGCCTGAAGTCTTTGGAATTGGTCTTGATAAGCAATATATACTGTATGTAGGACACCCATTCATCCAGACTTGGTACTGCAGCTACTGTGTTCAGTAAGATGAATCCATTGCCTTCCAGAAAGTCCCAAGAGCCTGTAATCCAACTCAGGTGAGTCGATGATTACCACATCACACCCCTATGGTATTGATTTTTACTTGACAGTAACTGCCAGTAACTGAGCTTGCTATGCCTCTTGGAAATTATGTATTGAATAGCCTGCCACCAATTTACAAACAGGTTATTTTCCTCCAGGTTCTAACTAGCCTCACTTCCCTCTCCCTGCTCATTTCCTCATGGTTGTTGAAGTCTCAGCATGTGTCAACCTCAAACCTATAGAACCTCTGGAGATCATACTCCTTTCAACAGTGTTGCAGGGTCAGAACTCACCTTTGCTTGGCATTTTCACTCTCCTCTCCTTCCACTTTGATGGTTTCTGAAAGAGACAAAAACATCCTCAGAAAACATATTATCCATAGATACTAAAATGGGAAAGTTTGGAGTAGCTCTAGTCCTGGAACTGGAGAGAGAAAATATTGTGATTTTATATGAGGAATATCTGGTTATTTAAATAATGCAATCTCAGGGGCTGGCCAATTGGTGCTAACAAATACTGTACAGTGTTACATGAGATGGATCCAAGTGGGAAATCTTTAGCCTGCTAGCCTTCCCAAAGCCTGAGTTGCTATTGGTATGGACTAACTACTGATGCAGCTTGGGATATAAATTCCTTTATATTGACTGTTGTGAACTGTTGTGATAGTGTTACTGTCCCACTTAGAGCCTCACAGCAGGATTTGCTAACTTGAATGTCCATGGAGGAATTTAGAGATTACATGAATCCTCTCAAAAATAACCCTGATGGCTTTGTGAATCAGTCTTTGATACTAGAGTCTTCTTGAACACTTCCTATCATTGGCAGTATATATATATATATATATATATATCCTCATATATATATATATATGGAACTCTGGTGGCACAGAGGTTAAAGCATCTCGCTACTAACTGAAAGATCGGCAGTTTGAACCCACCAGCTGCACCACAGAAGAAAGATGAAGCAGTCTGCTTCCAGCCTTGGAAACCCTGTGGGAAAATACTATCTGTCCTACAGGGTTGTTGTGAGTTGGAATCAACTTGATGGCAGTGACTAGGTATATATTTGGAATCTCTGGGTGGTACAAACGGATTGTTGTTGTTGTTGTTATGTGCCGTCGAGTCAAACCCGACTCATAGCGACCCCTCCTTGGGTTTCCTGAGGCAGTATCACTACGGAAGTAGGATTGCCCAACCTTCCTTCCGAGGAGTGGCTGGTGGGTTTGAACTGCCAGCCGTCTGGTTAGCAGTCAAGTGTCTTAGCCACTATGTTACCAGAGCTCCAAACGGATAGCATAACCAAATAGTTAGAGGTTTGGGTCCACTAGAGGCTCCTTGAAAGAAAAGTCTGGCAATTTACTGCCAAAAAATCAGCCAGAGAACCCTATGGAACACAGTTCTACTCTGACACATGTGGAGCTGCCATGAGCTGGAGTTAACTTGGCAGCAACTGATATTGTTGTATGTAGGTATGTGTGTATGTGTGTGAATATATCTATATATTTACAGCTTTATTGATATAGAATACATATACAACAAAATTCAGCATCATTTTCAGTATAAAGTTTGGTAAATTTAACAAATGTATACAGTCATGTAACCACCACCACAATCAACCTATAGAATATTTATATTACCCCCCAAATTTCCCTCCTGCCTCTTCTCAATTTCTCACTTCAACTTATTTGCTGGTAACCACTGATCAGCTAATTATCACAACAGTTTTGTTTTTTCCAAAATTTTATACAAAATTTTGTACATAGTCTTATTATACCTGGCTTCTTTTACTTAGCATGATTTTTTTTTTTATATAATTATCCATGTTGTTGCATGTTACCAGAAGTTCAATCTTTTCTAATTCTAACTAATATTTTATTGTATGAATGTTCCAACATTTGTTTACCCATTCACCAGTTGATGAAAGTTTAGGCTGCCAGTTTCGGGGTATTACTAATAAAGCTTCTCTAACATTTGCATATTAATTGGTGTATATGTTTTATGTTTTTCTTTCTCCTGGGTAAATACCTAGGATTGCTGGGCTGTACAGCAGGGCATAAAAGTTCCAGTTACTTCACATCCTTGCTAACACTTGATACTATTAATCTTTTTAATTTTAGACATTCTAGTGGGGGTGTGGATGTTTGTAGTTGTTTCTTCTCATTTTGAGTCATGCTACATCACCAAATGAAGGTCCAGAATATTTTACTCCATCCATGTTATTAAGTTCGGCTCTACTTTGAGGAGGAGCTCTGGTGGTGTAGTGCCTAAAGCATTTGACTGCTAACTATGAAGGCTGGCGGTTCAAACCCACTGGCCACTCCTTGGAAGGAAGACTGGACAATCTATTTCTGTACTGATACTGCCTCAGAAACCCAAGGAGAGGTCGCTATGAGTCAGGACTGACTCGATGGCAGTGAGTTTGGTTTGGTTTTTGGTTCTACTTTAAGGAGACAGCTCTTCCCCAGTCATATTTTGGGTGCCCTCCAACCTGAGGAGCTCATCTTCTGGCACCATATCAGACACTATAGATGTTTAGAGATGGGAGGGTGAGTCTTGTGTTTGTCTAGTCCTCCCTTCCCTCTCACCCAACAGCCTTGCTTGGATACCAAAATCTTACACATGTAGCTTTCAACATTTAGAAGAAATGTTTTCATCATTTCACTTCATTGAATTCTCACAGTAGTGTCATGAAGTGAAGTAAGTAAAGCAAGTAATAATCAGCTTTGCCTGGAAACCACATGTACATTTGTAAATCTTATACTCCTAGGAAAGACATGTTGCCAATGCTAGAAATCTAGAACAACATTGTTGGCTGAGTCCAATCTATCTGGGCTCTCAGCCTTTAGGGAAAACCTCTCCATTAACTAGCTTACTTTTTGCCTGTCTGGGATCCCAGCGTGCTAGCCAACGGACTCCAAAAAACAGTTGATAGGGAAGAAGCTGCAAAGTGGCAATCTGCAGAGAAGACAAGGACTGACTCACCACATTCATGATATTGACGAGAGAGGTCAGGGTGCTTCTTCTTCCTTTTCCATTGTGCTAGAAAGAATATCATCACACTGACAATGACCAGTGGAAGGGTAACAGCAATCCAGAGGATGTGGTCTTTTGGAATCAGAAGTGTCTCGGGTGACACTGGAACTAGAAAAGACCACTAGTTTTCAATCATCCAGTAAGGTCATTTATAAAAGGTTTATCTTTGCTGCTGATGTTCTATTTATTTACTTGTCTTCATCTCCCCAGGGCTCTAAGGCCTTAGGAGCCTAACATGTACAAGATGAGGCCCTAGAAGGTCCTGGCCTCAGGACCTCAGCAGCTAAGACCCAGTCAATGCTTCTGGTCAAATTCCTGGGCTGAGTTGCTCTCCCTTCCCAGAAACTGGGATTATACTGACAATGATCTGGAAGAAGAGGGTCAACCCAGGCCCTTGGTTCTGGAATCTGGGTAAAATATCCTTGCTGAGTCTCTGAATATACAATCATCTGTGCAATGCCCTTCTTCCCCAGCTGCCACGTTCTGAAGTTTTCCTTGTAATGACTCTTCTGTACACCATCATCTAAGATCAGGTCCCCAATAGCTCTTACTTGGACAAATGTAACAGTCTTTTAACAGACTCCTCTAACTTATCCCCGCCATCACCACTGGTTACAGTGGGCTTTCAGTATGTTTCACCCTACTAGAAAAACTTTGATATCTCCTCATGACCTGAGCTAACAGGGTCACAATCCTCAAAGTCCTCCCTATCTCTCAGGACTTACTTCTAACTTTCCTAAGATTCCTAAGGTTCGAGGAAATAGAAAAACAGGCCTTGGAGAGCAACTTCAAACTGAGTGCCCCACTTTATAAATATTTATGAGAACAGTTCTGGTTGTTAATCCCAAATTACAGGAAAATAGGACCAGCTGACATTCCTAGCTTAGCTATGGTTTGTGGACACATGCCTTGTCCCTGGGACATTAAGAAAAGGAGTTGTTGGTTTTGTACGGCATATGCAACACCTTTTGAGTCTGTCCCAGTTTATCCCACTTGAGTCCATTTGAAATTTCCAGTAAAGGAGGTTGTACTTGTTAACATGAGGACTGCTACCTTGGAGCACCCCAGAAGGTGCCATGACTCAAGGCAAACACTATCCTTCATCAACCCATAATAAAGGGATACAGAGAGGCAAGTCACATATTCCTGAGGTAGCCAGAGCTAAAACGACTCTGAAGATGGTGACAGCTGGGGAGGTGGTTTTGGCAGTAGTTGAGTAGCCAAAGAATGGTGATCCATGATGAGGTTACAATGGTGAAAACTCACTCACTGCTGTCCATTTGGATCCAACTCATAGCGACCCCTCCTTGGGTTTCCAACAAGCCCCTGTTTATTTGTAGACTATTGGACCCATGGCAAAAGGCTCCAGGACATGATGTCATATGTAGTGATGTTGGTGGCTCCGAGAAGGTGCTGAACTTTGGAGACAGCTTGGGAAAGGCTTCTATTAGGTCAAGAGAAGCTACACTCAAACTAGGACAGATTAGGTGGCTTCACTACTGACTAGACTCTCAGAGGCTGAGGTAACTGGGAGAGGAAGGGCACCTGTACTAGAAGAGGGGATTGTCTCAGTTGAAGAGCTGGTTGGTGGGGATTGGGCCCAGGGACTTCCCATTTGAGTGTGACCATAGGCTGAGTTATGTGTGAACAGAAAGATCCTAGCAGAGAGGAGGCAAACAAAGCCAGAGGACAGAGCAAGGGGTTGGGTGGATGCCAAGAGAGAGGCAAACCATTGGGTCAGAGATGGAAGAGGGGACAAAGCAAGCGGAAGGGCAGGTGGGTGGAAGAAGAGGTCAGGATCAGAGCAAGCAGTGATTGGGACAGTGTGGATTCAGAGTGCCTATATTTCAGGAGAAAATCTTGAAATTACTGCTCCTCAAAAGTGGGGTCTTAACTGTGGACAATTTCCCTCTAGAATAAAGCTGGTACTTTAAAATGGCAGGCTCCTATTAATCTTTCCTCCAGCTGGACTTATCCTGCACTACATTGTGAACATTCCCAAAGCATTTCTGCATCTGAATCTTTCCTTACCACATGTATGCTGATGCCTGCCACCACCTCCTATGCCCATATCAGATATTGTTCTTGTTGTTATGTGCCGTTGAGTCAGACTCGACTCATAGCGACCCCTCCTTGTGTTTCTGAGGCAGTATTACTACAGAAGTAGATTGCCCAACCTTCCTTCTGAGGAGTGGCTGGTGGGTTTGAACCACCAGCCTTCTGGTTAGCAGTCAAGTGCCTTAGGCACCATGCTATCAGAGCTCCTCTCAAATCAGATGCTGCTAATCAATAGTGGTCCTCTCACCCTCTGAGTCTGGACTCTTTTAGAATTCTTCTATTCAGGAAGCCACTGCAGGTTTGAGTAACTGTCATCTAAAATGCCCTCCCTTCTCCTCAGCAAACTTACTGAGTCCACTTATTTCTTTTGTGGTCTTATGAGGTATAAAGTCCCACTTCCTTTAGGAAAATCTTCCTTGGTTCTCAAGGATCTTGCCTGCCTCTGAATACCTATAAAACTGATTATAAGTCCTCTTGATTTGAATTTAGTTACATATTTCCACGGGATAAAATTTAGATCCTAGTTCAACCTTTTTAAAATCTAGTTTTCCACTTGTGCACATCATGGCTTTCTGATTCTACTGGAAGGCCTTCAGGGGCAGAGAGTATGTATAATACCTTTTAGTTTTCACCCCCACAACCAACAATGTCTAGAATGGTTCTGTACTCATAATAAATGCTATATGTATATGTATATGTATGTATGCTTGCATGTATGATACGTGTGTGTATGTTATTTTAATGAATATAAGAATTATGGACTAGAAAATGTCTGGATTTTATGACTTAAACTTCAGAATATTCCATCCAAACATAGCCCAAAGATTGGGTCATTTTCTGCACTAAGAACATGTTTCCTTGAGTATAGCATAGGTTTATAGTCTTTTGGACCCTACATCACTCTTGCTTCATGAACTGCCAAAAACCAAACCAAATTCACTGCTGTCGAGTTGACCCGACTCATAGTGACCCCTCATTTGGTTTCTGAGGCAGTATCTTTATGGAAGTAGATTGTCCAACCTTCCTTCCAAGGAGTGGCTGGTGGTTTGAACTGCCAGCCTTCTAGTTAGCAGTCAAATGCCTTAGGCATTACACTACCAGGGCTCCTAACTGAGTCCTTCCAAAAAACACCATAAAATGACCAAATTGGAGGTTTCCCAATAAGCAAGGGACAGTGTGGATGATCTGCCTTAATCATTTATGTACAATACCTAAACAAATAAATGATCTTGGAAATAAGTTTTACCTATAACATAAGGTTGGGAGAAAAGACACATCTTCGTCAGCTCAGGTTGCAAAGGTTGGTCATCTGTGATACAGAGGACACACAGGATGCTCATGCTTGTTGTATTTTGAAGTCCAGTATGATACAAGCTGATAGAAACATTGTAAAGTTCTGTGATATTATCTTGAGATTGCTGCATGGTAGGAGAATATTTGATAGTTGAATTCTCAGTTTTTAGCAAAAAGTACATCTCCATAGGCTGTGGGTAACCTTCTATAGAAGAGCAAGTGAAATTTCTGTAAGACTTGACTGATGAATTAGAATCTTGCGTTATTTCAGGTTGACTAAAGTTAGCTGAAAGCAGAATAGACAGAGGGAGGAAAAAAATCAGTTTAAATTAGGACGTATCTAGAACAACAAATAAGTAGATACCCGATCTGGGAACTCATTGAGGGCACACCTGGGAACTCCAGACTGTCATAAAGTGTGGGCCTCAAAACATGGTGAGAACCACATTATGACCCCCACATTTATTTTTCGGGAATGGAGTCCTGGACCACGTTCCCTTCTTGCTTACCCAAATCAAGCTTCTCAACATATGCTCTGAAAGATTTTAGGGCTGAAATTGAGTCATCAAAGATATGCAATTGCCATTATTCCAGGGAGTGGAATCATTGGAAGGAGAAGTGGTCTGACTCAAGACCCAAGTGTCTTATGGAATATATTTCAGACTAAGAGCAGAAAAGGACCGAGGCTAAAGTCCCATCAGGAATTAACAAGATTCCACACGGTCTTTCAGAAACCCAAGTATGACAGTGGTCAGTGAGTAAATGGGGATTTTGGATTTATAAATTTAGAAGACCGGTTTTTGGCATGACTATCAAGGTGTCTTCATCATGTACTAAAAGATGAAGGTCAAATCCAGCCATTTTTAGGGAAAATAGATGAGCCTCATAAATACAATGTTTCTCTTAGCTTTGTACTTTATGTGGTCTGTAGAAGATAGGTTGGGCAATCTACTTCCATAGTGATACTACCTCAAAAACCCAAGGAGGGGTCACTATGAGTCAGGTCCAACTCGAGGCACATAACAACAACAACAAAGCATTTAGGGGAGCTCAGGTGGTGCAGTGCCTAAGGTATTTGACTGCTAACCAGAAGCCTGGTGGTTCAAACCCTCCTTGGAAGGAAGGTTGGGCAATCTACTTCGGTATTGAACAACAAGCAATAATATCTGTGAAATCACAGGTTGGATGAGTTATAGCTTTTCTAGTTGTTGTTGTTATGTGCCGTTGAGTAGGACCTGTCTCATAGTGACCCCTCCTTGGGTTTCCGAGGCAGTATCACTATGGAAGTAGATTGCCCCGTCTTCTTTCCAAGCTTTTCTAGTACACATTAAAATAAGCAAAAAACTGTTTATAAATAAATGAAAGTTTGTCTGTGTCCCACCTGAAACATACTATGTTCCATCAGTGGTATTTGACCACAATTTTGAAAACATTAACTTAGCATTTGGTTAAATTTTCCAAAAGCCCTGTGTCCTAGTTTGAATCACACAGGGCTCAAAGGCAGCAAGCAACTCCTCATTTTGTGCCTGCTTTCACCTCTGCTTTACTCTGTGTTTTCAGAATAGATGTTGATCTGCCTTTTCCAATTTTGTCAAAAAGTAATATGGAACCAGTAATGAGGAGCTCTGGGTGTAGTGGATAAGACATTTAATTGTTAACTAGAAAATCAGCAGTTCAAACCCACCAGCCACTCCACGGAAGGAAGATGGGGCAATCTACTTCCATAAAGATTTACAGCCTTGGAAATCCAATGGGGGTCACTGTGAGTTGGAGTTGACTCAATGGCAGTGGGTTTTTGGTTTTGGAATGGGACACCTGAATATCTACCCTCTCCCAGCAGTCTCCCACTGCTGTCAAATTGATTGTGACCCTAGCAACCCTACAGGACAGAAGACAACTGCCTCATAGGGTTTCCAAGGCTGTAAATCTTTAAGGAAGAAGACTGCCACATCTTTATCACTGGGAGAAGCTGGTGAGTTCAAACCACTAACTTTTTGGTTAGCAGCTTAGTGCTTTGCTTTAACTACTGCACCACCAGGACTTCTATAGCTATCCTAGAGAAATGAAAACTTATGTTCATGCAAAAACCTGTATATAAATGTTTATATCTGCTCTATTCATAGTAGCCCAAAACTGGAAACAACCCAAATGTCCTTTAATGGATAAGTGGATAAACAATAGAATACTATTAAGCAACAAAAAGAAACAAACTTTTGATATTTGCAACAACTTGGATGAAGCTCAATGACATTATGTTGAATAAAAAGAGCCAGTCTTAAAAAGTTACATACTATATGATTCCATTTATGTGGCATTCTCAAAAATGACAAAAGTGTAGGACGAAAAACAGGATTTATAGGTGCAGAGAGGGCATGACTATAAAGAGAAGCATTAAAGAGTTTCTGGTTAGGATGATGGAAGTGTTCTGTATCCTGATTATGCTGTTGGTTATACAAAAATACACGTGTCAAATTCATAGAGTTGCAAACCAAAAGGATAAAAAAAAAGTCCATTTTTACTATATGATAACTTAAAAAAAATCTGTAGTGACATTTAGGCTTTTCAAGGACTAGTGAAGCAGAAAAGACTGGTTTATCAGTTTGTGGATTATTTGTTCGGTTATTTCCTTTCTGTCTACTGGGCTCACGCTTGGTGCAACAGCAAGTCATAGGCAACCACAGGAGGTTGGAGGGAAAACCCAAATCAGTCAGTTCTAATCCTTGCTAGAAGCTCCAGGCAAAGGTTTTGTGGGTGAAAAATCTTAGGCCAAAGGAAAAAAATGGATGCAAAAGAGATTTGAGGACTATATGGTTATACAAATTTATTAATAGCCAAATAACATGTGGTTTTCACTAAGTCACATTATCTTTGTTCAATCAACTCTATTTTGTCTCCAAACAGGTTATTACTGATCCTTCAGAAGCAAACTATAAAAAGTACAAAGGACTTTCAGTTCCTTACTCCCAGACCCTGAACTCTCTTCAAATGGTTCCCAGAATTGGTTATTTTCTGCCTTCTCTCAACAGGTTCCTCCCAGTATTGCTCTACTCATATGACGTTTCATCTGAGAAAATCAGGGACCTGAACCACCATTAACCACTTACCAATCACTGCCAATTCAGAACTCATCTTGTAGGTGGGAACAAGTCCTTTACGGCTTTTATGATGGACAAAACACTGATAATTGCCCTGGTCCTTGATCTCAACATTGTGGAGATGCAGGGTCCAATTTTCCTCGTCAAAGCTTATGTGGCGGTCTTTATACTTAGGATCAACATTATCAGCTTTCTCTTTGCCTTGGTATAGCTCAAACAAGACCAACTGTTCCTGATTCTGCCAGAAGACTACCAGCTCATCCAGGCTTAGGTTATTAGAGTTTATGAATTGACATGGCAAATATGCAGTCTCGTTGAAATAAGCCTGAATCTTTATGGTGGCAGCAGCACCTGAAGAGGGAGAGGTGGGTAGTGGGAAAGGAGAAACAAGCAGGAAGAAAAAAAAATTACAATTTCATTTTATGTATCTAATACCCAGATGCTATCTTGTCAGTAATGATTCTGAAGCAGTAGATTTTAAGCTCTGAAACTGTGCATACATGCTGCGTGTCTAGAGATCACTGGCTCCACTGCCAAGTTGCCTGTGCAAACTGCAATCTCTCTGAGCCTCAGTTTCCTCACCTATTTAATGAATAGACATACCAAATGTTCTCATGGCCTTTCTAGCACATAGTTCTGTGAACTTAAATTCCAGGACAGGAAAACCAAGAAGAGCTAGAAAAGTAATTTCCCTACATGTTACCTTCCCAGTACCTGAATACTGATTATCATTACTGTAGCTGTGTAGATGCCATTACTTCTGTCATCATCATCAAAAGGCCTCCTATCCTTTACTGTCTTATTCCTTGGCCTGGCTGTGCTGAAGAGGTCATTGATAATTGTAATAAATTTGATTCTCTTTTTCATTATGCCTCCTTAGTTAGGGGTGACATTGACTTGCCTCTTTGAAAGTCAAATAGTTCCTTTATAGAGCCTTTCTCATGGCTGCTACTCCCATGTCCAGATCTCCCAAGACTATAAAAAAGATTTGGAAATGGTTCCAACAGTCAGCCAAATCCTCCATTCTCATTGACCTCTCTAAACTCAATCTTTTTTAGAAATGAGAAAAGAGAACTGGGCAAATATGATGGCTGTTGGGGATTGTGGTGGACAGAGACCATTTAAGGTACATGAATGAAATGTTGGAAATGAAACATAGATGGGGAGGTGAGGATGTGCTTTGGGAGAATTGGGGAAATCCCAGTGCAAACTTGCTTCTCACAGTATACGGTACCCCTGGAAATTTTAGCAACTTACAGGGAACATGCTGGAAGAGTTCAGGAAAAAAAGCTTTGGTCTCTGAGGCATGTTGGAGTTTGTGTGTGGGATTTGGTCCATCAAACTCCTTAAGGGTGATTACAGGGTTTGTGTAGGTCTTTTCTCTGTCACAGAATTAGTTGAGACTTGGAAAGAAATAGTGGTGGGTGAGAAGTGTGGGGCAAGTGGGAGAATGCTAATGTTTCTTAGTTAACATAGAGTTAGATGCCATCTTGGGGGAAGTGTCATTACTCAGGATTTCAGTGAAGGGATATTGACATTAAGGAAGAAAGGAAGGTAGGTTGGTGAAATAGCTGAGGGGAGTTTCACTTGAGGTATTCTTTGGGAAGTGGAAGAAATTTTTTAATGATTTGATCAACAGGTTTCTCTTCTAAGAGTGAGAAGAAGTATAAATTTTACATGCACTTGGCAAAATTGGATTGCATGCAGTCTGGCCCATTGAGAACACGTGATCAACGAGGTTGTTGATGGTCTTATACTCTAAGGGAAGAGGACTCTAGGCATCAGTGAGAGTTTAAGAATGAGTCTTTGTGTATTGTACTATACTCACTAGAACCCTGTAAAGCACTTGAAAGTATAAAATGCAGCATCTATACAGCATGTGTTATTATTTGGAGAGAGGAGAGAAACTCTACCTGGGTACAAAGAGCAGCGAATTGGGGACTCAACAGTTTCACCTGTATTTAGTAATAATCTTCAAGGCAAAGTTGGGGCTCCTGCTACTGTTTTGCCAAGCTCTCAATGGTAATGCAAGAGTGCCACCTGCTGTAAAAGCTTCTAGTGACTATCATTTCAGAAATTCATTCCGTCACTATTTGTCATATGATATAGGGCAAATGACCTAATGGAGAAAGCAAACACGCAGCTGAAAATTCTGCCAGTTGAGAGTTAATTGTGCTTTTTGCACCTAGAGATGACTTCACCTTGGACTTCTCTGTTTATGGTTCTCTGCAGAGCCTCATAGTACTTTTACTCCATCCCACTCACTCTCTCCATTAACAGACCTCTGTCACTAAGTTCTTCTGGCAAAGATTATAAGGTCTTTCTCTTCCATCCATGTAACTGACTCCCTTCTCACCTACCAGTTCAAGGTTTGGCCTGTGGACCAACAGCATTAGCATCACCTGGGGCCTGGTTAGGAAAGCAGAATCTCTAGCCCCACCCTAGACCTATTGCATCAGAGTCTGCATTTTGAAAAGAGCTTCAGGTGTACATTCAAGTTTGAGAAGTGTTGCTATAGAGGATCTCTGCCTCTGTCTCCAAAGTAGGGAAGAGAAGGAAACATTTGTTTCTTTCTGTGCTCAGCTGCAAACCAAAAGGTTGGAGGTTCACGCCCACCCAGAGGCTCCTTGGAAGAAAGGCTTGGTGATGTACTTCTGAAATTCAGCCAATAGAAAGGCTATGGAGTGCGGTCCTACTCTATATACATGGGGTCACCAGGAGTTGATGTCGACTTGATGACAACTCGTTATGCCTCCCCAACCCCTGGAGTGGAAGTGACTCTGAACGTCATTCTCAGTGGAACTGAAACTATTTCACAATTTATACTCTGCAGCCCCTCACCAACCATTGCTTTCCATGACATCACTCATAGCTAGGCATAGGGGATCCTACTAATTCCCTTTCTGCTCGTGGGAGAAGATATAGCTCAAAGTCTGTTCTCCCTGAGTGGTTTTGGGCCTCTCCTGATATAACCCTAAACCACTTTGTGGGTAAGCACTGAGAATCTCCTCCTTCCTAAACATTTAGTAAGAGAAATGGTCTGGGCCTTATTATGACTGGATGTTGCAATAATGTCAGGAGGAAGACACCACACTAATCAACTGGAAGATTTTATTTCAAAGGAAATTTGAGTACTTCCCCCAGCAATATACTGTTTCAATAGCACACAAAAACTATAATCTGCTAAACTTGGGAGGTTTCTGACTTGGGAATTCAGTCCTTCTTGGCACTATCTCAAATGCATGTCTTACATATCATTCAATGATCATGTCTTCCTCATGTTACTGTCTTTGACCATGAATTTTCCTTCTTTTACTAAACTTCCTTCAAAGCTTTATTAGGGCCTCTCAAAGCCTTATTCCATTTCAATAAAGTTTTCTAAGTTCTCAGCCTCATCATCAGATGTTTCCTCCAAGGTCATGCTTTAATTGAAATCTGTCCCCACCCAAAGGAAGCCACTTGCTGTCCAGCTGCTGCTTGTTTTATCAATTTCACAAAGATCTGAGTAGCACCATCACTTTTTTGAGGTGTTCCCCTCTCTCATTGCAGTTAGCTACTAATCGTTTGTCACTATCCTTTTGTTCACTGAGGATTTGACATTAGATGCAAAGTCTTTCTTTCCAATTAATTTTTTTTAATTTATTTTTATTGTGATTTGGGTTTATAAAGGAAGTTCATTCCATACAGCATTTCATACACGTTTTGTCTCACGACATTGACTGCAATTTCTCACAGTGTAACAGCCCTCTTCCCACTTCCTCCTTGTAGTTACCTCTTCTCTGTGTCCTTCCCTCTCATGCACTCCTGCCCCCGAGCTGTCTCCCTGTGCATACACAGCCCCTCTGTTCTCCCATGATTGTTCTCTCCAAGGAGTGTATCTACCTGATGTAAATGTTCAGCCCATATGCCTGTCTTTTGTTTGTCTGGAAGCCACAGGAGTGAGTTCAATTCCAGACCTGCAGGGCAGCTAGGGGCCATAGTCTCAGTGGTTCCACCAGGCTCTATTAGACCAGCAAACCTGGTCTTTTATTTATTTATTTTGTGATTTTGAGTTTTGTTCCACATTGTTCTCTTGCTCTATCCAGGATCTCCTACACAGATCCCCTCCGAGGGGTTGACAGTGGTGGCCGGGTACCATTTAGTTCTTCTGGTCACATAGTCATATAGGCTGAGGATCGCATGGTCTACCAGACCCTTGAACTGTCTTTCCAATTAATTCTTGCCATCAATTTAGGTGATTTCATCATGCATGAATCCACTGACAGTCTGACCTCAAAATTCTTTGACCTTTTCAACTCCAAAAATCTTCATCCTCATGCTATTTCAGCAGCTCAGTTCCCATGATATAACTCTGAACCTAATCACCAAGAAAAGCTCTTGCCCTAGAGTTTTAAACTCCAACATTCACCTCCATCCATGACCTCCTATTCCTTCAGATGTCATTCTTGCTTACTCCCCCATTTCTTCCACTTTGTCAAGACTTTACCTGTATCCAGTCTAGACCATATAAAGCAGCACTTTCAAAAAGAACTCTCTGGCTATTGAGCACTTGAAATGTAGCAAGTGTTGAGAACTGAATTTTGCTTTTTGTATAATCTTAAAGAATTTAAATTTAAATAGCCACATGTGGCTACTGGCTATTGTCATGGAGAGTACAGCAATAGTTCATCTTTTCAATCATTCTCTTGCCTGCAATTTCAAGAAACTTGCCTCTTTGTCTGCCTATTCTCATCCTGAGAGCGTTCTTCTTTTGATGAACTGTTCTTATCAGGAGCCCTGGTGGTGCAGTGGTAAAGCATTCAGCTTCTAACTGACAGGCTAGCAGTTTGACCCCCCCCCCATCCCCCAGTTCTGTGGGAGAAGGATATGGAAGTCTGCTTCTGTGAAGATTTACACCTTGGAAACCCTATGGGGGCAGTTCTAATCTGTCCTATAAGGTCACTATGAGTTGGAATTTGGTGGGTTTTGCTTTGGTTCTTACAATTGAATGCTTCAGTACTCTTGGAGGAAATTATTCAGTTGTTCAGACTGGTGATGTTACAAATTCATAGTCTCCAATCTCACTTCATTTGACCTTAGTGATGGTTGGTATTTACTCATCCAGCTTACCACCTTCTTGTTTCCTCACAGTGGTTATTTCACATGCATCTCCCTTGCTACTGCTTTTAGTTTCTCTTTCCCTTAAATTATAATCACTGTGTCCACTCCCAGCCTTCCCTGCTTCTCTACTGAAAATGCCCAGGCAAAAGTTGTCAGGTATGTCCTACCATGGCCACATCCAGAGCTCTTGTCAGACCCCATCTTCTTTGACCATTCTGTTGACTGTAATGCCATTGACCATCTCCCTTTCTTGAAATTCTCCATTTTTTCCTCAATCTCTGGCCTCCTTTCAGTTTTCTCTGACCACTCCTTAAATGTTAAATGGTGCTTGTTTTCAATCCTCTCCTCAATCTCCACATTCTCCCTAGTGTTTCTCTTCTATCCCCATAGATTTGACTGCCAACTATAAGATAATAATTCACAGATGCTTGCCTCCAGCCCATCACTTTCCCTAGAGTTCTGGACACCCATATCCAACTGCCTACTGGATACTTCCATGTAAATATGCAACAGATACTCTTTCCTCCCCTTCAAACTTTCTTCTCTCTCTCAATGAATGGCTCCCCACCTTCTGCTGTCAGTCATCTAAATTTTTGGTGGAAACTACCCAAGAGAGGTTCTGCACAGGTGTTGCTGAGGAGATCGAGAAATACAAGACAAGAAATCTAATATGTTAAGGGAAGGGGAGAAGGAGTCAATAGGAAGCAAATAAAATGGGTACTCAGAGAAAAAAACATATTTATCTAGAGATTTCAGGTATATTATGTTTTAGGTTACTAAAAGAGGATTCTCTGTTATAGGGTAGAGATGGTTATCTAAGATTTTTCATGGCCTGGATCTTTCTGTTAATATTATCTATGCATTGATTTCATGTACACTGTGCAGCCATATACATATGATACATATAATAATGTGTATTATATTCTAGATATGTTTTTGTTGTTAGGTGGTATTGAGTTGATTTTTGACTCATAGCAATCTCATGTGACAGGGTAGAACTGCCCCACAGGGTTTCCTAAGCTGTGATCTTTATGGGAGCAGGCCACCAGCTCTTTCTTCCATGGTGCCACTGGGTGGGTATGAATCATCAACCTTCCAGTTAATAGCTGAGTCCTTAATGGTTACATCATCAGGGCTCCAAATGGAGCTTCAAGTTGAATTTAATTAGTTTTAAATAAAATGTAAAAGCAGATATTAACACCTGAGTTAGTGAACACGCAAACTACCAGAATGGAGAAAGATAAATCAAATATAACAACCTTGTAAATAAATATAAGTGGACTAATTTTATTTTATACAAATGATTCTCACAAAGGCAACAAAAGTAAATATGAATTCATACACAGTCCGGCAATAACAGTAATAACAATAACCAATAATCTATGAGTAGATACATAGATGTATGTGTAAGTTGAATAGGTGTGGGAAGGAGAATAGGATTATACCCATGGATACATATAGGTTTGACAGAGTGTATTTCTATACATGTATTTACATATGCTGCAAATATATCCATGAATATAGGAAAGCCTAAGGGGGCAAAGTTATGGAAACTTCTTAGCCATAACCAAAAACCATGAGGACTCAGGACCATGGTCTCCAGAGACATCAAGGTCAATTGGCATAACAAAGTACACAAAGACAATGTTCTACATCCTACTTGGGTGAGTAGCTACTGGGGTCTTAAAGTTTGCGAGTGGCCAATAAGGTGTAACTATTGGTCTCTCTTTGTCCAGAGCAAAGACAAGTGAAAAAAAATCAAAGGCTTATGGAAATAATTAGTCCAAAGAACTAATAGAACGTGCAAACTTCAGCCTCCACAACCCTGAGACTAGAACTAAATGGTGCCCAGCTACTACTACCAACTACTCTGGAAGGGATCACACTGGAAGGTCCTGGATAGAATGGGAGAAAAATGTGGAACAAACCTCAAAATCATGAAAAAAGACCAGGCTTATTGTTGAGAAAGAGACTAGCGGAACTCCCTATGGTCCTTGGTCACCCTTTGAACCTGGAACTGAACTCATTTCTGTAGCTCAATTTTCAGTGAAACAGGTCTATGAGGTGAGCAATGACTCTGTGAAGATACACAGTCCTTAGAACAATCAACCATTCGAGATCAACAAACAGGGCAGCATTTGACAGACGGCAAAACTCAGAAGGCAGCAAGGGTTAGGAGAAAAGCAGGAATGGAAACGAGAAACACAGGGAGGAAGTGAGAGGAGTGATGTTACGTTGAGGAAATTGCAATTGATGACATGAAACAAAATGTGTGTGAATCGTAGAATGGAAAACTGATTCACCCTGTAAACTTTTACCCAAATGGCAATAAAAAGTTTTTTTAAAAAAATAATTTTCACAGTAGGTTAAACATCAAACCAAAAGATATATACTGTTTTCAGGTACAAATAGGTGTAGGTCAAAAATAAAAGGTCGGGTGAAGAAGATACATTAATCATACCAAGTACAAGGAAAGTAGGGCTAACATATGTTTGATAGGTTAAAATTTGAAACAAAAATAAAGTCATGGTATAATTATAAAAGGTAAAAAATGCAAAAACATCAGAACATCCAAATATACAAAGAAAAAATGCATAATGGGAATGAAATTTCTTTTCATAGAAATAGTCAAGCTCATAAATGAAGGGAATGACTGAATGGTAACATTACCATTTCACAACCCCAGTCAGTTAAGAGGAGTCCTGGTGGCCTAGTGCCTAAGGCATTTGACTGCTAACCAGAAGGCTGGTGGTTCAAACCCACCAACCACTCCTCAGAAGGAAGATTGGGCAATCTACTTCCATAGAGATATGGCCTCGGAAACCCAAGGAGGGGTCGCTATGAGTCAGATCTGACTCCACAGCAGTATGTTTGTTTTTTGGAATCAGTTAAGGGATCTGGACATTGAACATTAATGGCTGCTTATATCACAAAAGAGGGACACCATCCACTATGCGCTTTCTGACAGAAAAGCACAGCACCACCAATGAAGAAGTCATTAGGAAATATATTGGTTTTAAGCAGTCATACTCTATCTGTGTTATATTTACAATAACATCTTTTTTTAAAAAAATAAAAAGAAAAAATTGATAAATTTTCAGGGAGAAATTGGCAAAAATTATCATAGAAGATCACATGGATTTGAAAAATACAATGAAGGGATCAGATAGAAGTTTTGAGTCAATAAGGTATTGATAAGTTTATGCTTTAAGGCAATCTTTTTTACTTCAAACACATAGCAACAATGGATAAAGCACAAAAGAGGGAATAATTAAAGGACACTTCTGGGTGTCAAAGCAAGATATACATGGTTGTGAATAAGAAATAAATACAAGCAACAAGCAGTGAACAGAAGTTGAAGCCTTGGGACACTGGACCTCCAGGTCTGAAAGCAGCAGAGGTCAGCGGAGGCTCCCCTGCAGAATGAAGATGAGAATAAAAAGTATGGGAAAAGAGTGACATAATGCCAGACATCAGGGGCTGGAATATGGCTCTTCCATCAGTGAAAAAAAAATGGTGGGAAAAGCAAAACAAAAGAACTGCTAACTTCTGTCTTGGGCTGCCAAAGCAAAACAAAACTCACTGCTGCCAAGTCAATTTGGACTCATGGCAACAGACCCTGCTTGTTACAAAGTAGGACTGCTCCAGAGGATTTTCTTGGCTGAGATCTTTAAAGCAGATCATCCGGCTTTTCTCATATGGTATCTCTGCGGGGTTTTTAAAGGCCGACATTTAGGTTAATAGTGCAGAATAAATCATTTGCACCACCCAGAGACATTCCTCAGGCTATAGATATATGAAATTGCTTGCCTGGAAAGCAGGAGGACACCAACCATAGTACAACGACTAGAAGTCAAAGTACCAGCTAGCTTGATAACTGCATCTACCACATACATATTATCACTATGTTAGTGGAGCTTGAAGCACTAAAATAAGACCATTTCTGATCTGGGGCTAAGTGGAGTCACCCATAAAACTATTAGACAGGGAGGAGAGAGAAGGGGGCGGAGAGAGAGCGCCTACTCAAAATGAGCCCGCACAACAAAATCCCAGGAGCAGGAAGACAAGCAAGAAAATAGATAATTGATAGATTAATTTACTCCAGAAAAAAAAGATTTTAAAGTTGGGGGTTCAAACTCACCAGCCACTCCCTGGAGGGAAGACTGGGCAGTCTACTTCCATAAAGATTTACTGCCTCAGAAACCCAAAGGGGGTCGCTATGAGTCGGAATCCACTCGATGGCAGTGAGCTTGGTTTTTTTTAGTTTTTATACTTAAACCAAAAACCTAACTCACAGCTGTCGAGTTGGATCTGACTCATACTGACCCCTCCTTGGCTTTCCGAGGCAGTATCACTACGGAAGTAGATTGCCCCATCTTCCTTCTGAGGAGTGGCTAGTGGGTTTGAATCACCATTTTATACTTAGGATCCTCAAAAAGACATTGGAAGAAGCAATCATTAAAAAGCTAAAATAAATAAATAAATAAAAAATATTGTAGAACAAGAATAGGGAAAATGTCCAAAGTAAAGAACGCTACAAGATTGTAAAAAGGGAACCGGAGGTATCAATTGACAAATGAGGACAACTACAAACCAAAAAGAGGGAAAAAAAACTGTGTTACAGAACGTCTAGATGGTAGGGAAGTCAAGACAATTACAAGATAGAACGGACTGTTCTAAACTTGGGAAGAAAACTATAAATCACGGGGTAACCTCAAAGAAAAATGATAAACCTTTACATCAAGAAAGAGGACCAGCATAAATATTCAGCAAATACTAAAACAACAGCAATGAAGGAAGGGATAACACAATTCATAAACCAAACGAGCTCAGCAAAGAAAATGATATGGAACAAAAAAATCGACACCACGAAAAAGCACATAATAAAAATGACAGCAACAAATTCATATTTGCTGATAATTACATATCTGGCAAGGGACTTATCTTTAAGATTTATAGCAGAAGAGTGAATGACCAAACTATGGTGCAAACACATAATGGAATGCTCTGGTAGCATAGTGGCTAAGGCACTTGACTGCTAACCAGAAGGCTGGCGGTTCAAACCC